TACTCAGCAATATTTCACCTGTATAAGGGATCGTAAAGGATTCTGGACGAGGAACATAGTATCAAATAGTATGAATCACGTGACTCCACTTTAGGATAGAAAGTCTTGAAAGAGTGTGGTTAACAACCACCCAGCAGACAAATTCTCCCTGTTTCGGATACATTCCAGCACCTAAACATTTGCTATCTACCTTCACAACTTTTGAGATCTCTTAGAACATGCTTAATTTCATCTTTAGTCTGAGCTTCATACGACTTTTACTCAAAGGTGTTGGGATCATTGCATTCACTGCCTCAGGTGAGCTTACAAGATGCTTTATGGTAGACAGGTCGAGCATATTTCCAGATTCGATGACTCCAAAATGTTTCCAATGTAATTCCTTTTTGGACTTCCAATGATTTTCAGATGAAAAAATCACGTAACCTGCACCATTCCTAGCGTATCATACATCATACACATCGTCATGATCGTATGTAATACTTTGTTGCTTTAAGTAGTGGCAGTAGTCGTAGTCTTTGTTGAGGTAGTCATAGTCGTAGCCGTAGCACTGGTTATACTAGTAGCAGTAGTAATACTATTCCACGTCGCAGTGGTGGCAGTGGAGGAAATAGCAGCAGTCCACTGTCCCCAGTCCAAAGAGTCCCAAATTCGAAATCTACCAGCCGAAGTACACTTACTATTGTACAGTAACTTATACTTAGGATATATCTTATCACGACTTTTGTGAGTTGACTCTTCGCCATTTCATTATATGTTGATTCAATGTGATTTGTAAGAAGCATATCCACCACTCAACAACTACTCTCTACTCTTTGTTAAAATCATTAAAAATCTGTTTGGAGATGTCGCGTGGGCCGACACTTCCAGCAATAACATTACTATTGGCAACAAGGATTTAACTCAAGCCAGTTCACTTGGAAAATATCACAGTGGACTTTCCGGTGTGTGCCACTTTCCAAACGGAAACAATAAGTCAATCCAGAAATCTGTTTGCAAAATAATTCAAACAAAAATTAATAAAATGTTAAACGATGAATCATTAGTATTCTACCCTTATCCAGCTTTTCAAATCAATACATTTGTTGCTAACGTGTTCACAACGACGGTAAACAATAGATCCCGAGTTGTCCAGGAATGTCCACTCTGTGCCGCGTCGGCCAATAGCTGTTCTGGCAGATCGAAGATTACACTTGACACCGAAAGCAAAAGGTATAATAAAATCTATACAACTGTTTACACAAGACAGTAACGCATTCATGACAACGAGTTATTGTTGGGGCAACTTCGACTGAATCTTAATAACTACAATTACAACACAAATGATGCATCCATATAGGAGCTATCATGACGAATTAAATTTGATCTGATATTGCCAGCTGACTAAACACAACTATGTTATATCTTGGAATACATGTGCGTGCACGTTATTAACCCTACTGTTTTGTGTACTAACAGTACAATCGAACAATCGCCTCTGATTTTCGCCCATATTTTTAATGAGTGTGGTTAGGAATTTCTGGGTATATCTTTTGGCCATAATTAATATTTTATGATGACTGATTACAGTGATAGATAGCTCAAGCTGAATAGTTTACACTTACAACACATGATATCCCACCTTATTTAGAGGACTTATATTATGTATTCTACCATGACTTGATTAAATGCTGGATTGTGATTGGTTAATGAAAGTCATTCAGACGCATATCATCACGTTATATGTCTCTGATTTTCTAACGCGGTACGCATTTAAAAAACAAATCTTAATAACGCGTTCGGTTTTCAATCAATTTTAGAGCTATTATAATTTCGTTTTAATTTCTGATTTTCCAGCACAGTATGTTTATCTCCTAAGTGTAACCTTTAACACGCATTTTCAGCGTCCATCTCAGTAAAAGCAGCGAGAAATCCAGTTAAAGATGGACAGATCCTAACACTGACTTGCGAAAGTACAAATGACATCAAGAAGCTGTCTGGTCCAGAAACTCTGTGCACATATTCAAGACCATCATACCGACGTCCATGTTGGTGTACGACACCAGCTCCCCCCAGTACCAGTCTGTGGCAGGACGTGTCACTGTCGGATCCTCCACCCTCCTTCAGCACAACGTCACTCTCAGGATCAACTCTACACTCGACCAGGGCTCTGTGTGGAGATGTCAAACTGGAGAAACGTGTTCAGCAATAACGTCACGCTTGATGTGGTGGAACATATACGGGGTAAATAAACCTTTGGTGTATAAGAGTGTTTTATCTAATGAAGATTAAACTGACATTTCATTAAACTCAGTGAGGTCATAATGATTTATAACAGAACAGTGATTTCACATTTATGTCACACTTGCATTAACTCAGTGATTTCATAACATGTAACGCAGTGATTTCATAACATAGAACTGAGTGATTTCATAACATTTAACTGAATGATTTCATTGCATTAACTCAGTGATTTCATACATATAACTCAGTGATTTCATAACATATAACTCAGTTATTTCATACCTATAACTCTGTGATTTCATAACATAAAACTCAGTGATTGTATCTGCAGGGGATGCTGTAACCACTATTACAGCAATTGACTCACCATCAACCTCAGAAGGTATGCCATTACATATGCTCATGACGATGTCTTGTGTGAAAATGATTGCGATATTTGACGTAATCCCTCGTTGTAGTATTTCATCTTTTTGAAACATAAGTCATTATGGATATATTTCTGTACGCAACAGAATAGGGTGCAATTGCATAACTATGATGTGTATCAGCTTGATAAGAGATGGTGACTCGGAATGTTTCAACTGATTCAACCAACACTTGCAACATTTTACCAATTGAAAATCCTCTAATATGAAATGTTTTAAGATAACTACCACCCACGATGGTTTGGGTTTAAAGTGATGAAATTTGGCTAGATCGTATAGCTTGTAAGATAATTAAAGGCATAATATATTTCAATCGACTTGCGACCTTTAATGCATAGTCTACAGTTTAAAACTTTCCGAAATACCATGAGTGAAATATTGCCGATGTGACGTTAAATCACCCACCCTTCTTCTGTCTTTGAAAAATGCTAATATGTATATCTGCTCCAGGTTTGATAAAATAGCAATTGTAAGTACCTAACGTAAATCCAAATCGTTGGTAGTTCATTTTTCAACGCCGCACTCAGCAATATTCCAGCTATGTGGCGGCGGTCTGTAAATAATCGAGTCTGGATCAGACAATCCAGTTATCAACAGAATGGGCATCGATCTCAGCAGCCGGGATGTGGCAAACTCTCATGACAAGCATGGTTTGTTGAAGACCAATTCTAGCTCGGATCTTCACGGGTCACCCAGACTGTTGGGGTAATTAGTTTTATAACGGGTGTATTCAAGAAATAAATACCTCCAGGTCAGTGGACAGTGGACAGTGTCATAGCTGAAGAAGGTAGATTCATTCTCAAGTACTCTTTGAAATATTTCACTAACAACTCCAAGCTTCATATTTCTTTAAGGTCAATGACGTCATTCATTGTTTATTGACAGTACCAACTTTTTATAATACATTTGGTTAACTTTGAAGTATATGTTACGAATGTTAAAAGGAGAAACAGATTTCAACTGGAAGGTGTTCAAACACAGATTCAGAACTACGCAGCTGTAACACATGTTATATTTGGGATTACACTTTCTCAGTAAAGTACAGATTCTAGTACTTTCTTTTTTGTGGGTGGTGAGGGAGGGTTGAGTCCCATCCCAAATTCGAACCCACACCCTCAGAGTCAGGCACCTAATCGCCAGCACATAATGTCAGATGCCTAGACCTCTCAGTCACAGCCACTCAATCTAGGCATCTGACTTTGTGTGCTGGCGATTAGGTGCCTTACTCTTTCGAATCCCGGATGGGACTCAACGAACCCCACCCCTCCCCAAAAAAAAAGAAAAGATAAAAAAAGTGTAATCCCAAATTTAGCATGTGTTACATTTGACCACTTCCTAAAATGGCAATTTGTATTTCATACACAGCTGTACACTTGATGTACAGAAAACTGAATGTCATGGCAACAATGACTGATACGATCATTCAACTGTAGTTGACAGTGTGAACTGTATTTCAGATGGACGTATTTTACCCCTCACCGCTGCAGTTGCCAGTATCATCGTAGTCATCGTCATCGTCGTCGCCAGTTTTATATCTGTGTTACTGGTCAGGAAATATAAGAAGGGTACGTGATTTCTTTTCGTAATACACGAGGCTCTTTCTGTCCAAATTCGCATTCCACCATGGCACTGTGCCATTGTGTATGACAAGAGAGGATACACCGAATGTTTGCTGAATACATTAAACAGGGGATACAATTTCGAACGTATTTGGACATATACTGAAAGAAATAGTTCGTTTGAATATGTTAAGTTTTGAAGACAATTATAATTGAAACGGTTTGCTGTGACAAACAAATAAGCAACACCCCTTTTTTAGAAGGGATTATTTCATAACTTGTCATATTATTTTTAATTTTTTTTAATTGTTTGTACAACATGTTTCTGGCCTTTCAATAAATACGAACTATTTTCATATTAGGCCGTCGTAATGGATAAAGAATATTTGGCAGATCATTTCTCGCATTAGTGGTTCCAAACGTTTAGTTCTGTGCATGTGATATATTTCATCATTACCGACAAAGTCACATGCTGTTCCAGACGTCGCAGAAAGCAACAGTCAGATATACAGCACCATGTCACGTGACCCTGACACTGACAACAATTACTCTGAGTTGGGACCTGGACCCACAAGTGAAAGGCTTCCGGCTTCTCAGCCTGTCACAACAGAGGAGTCCGTGGCCTACTACAACACAGGGCCCGCTGACAGCCAGTATGAAAACCCATCCGCTTCTACTGAGAAGCCGGATTCTTCATACAGTGAGTGAGTAAGGGCCTGAGTTTAGTTTGACGCCGCTTTTAGCAATATTCCAGCGATATCACGACCTAAGACACCAGGTATGGGCTCCACACATTGTACCCATGTGGGGAATCGAACCCGGGTCTTCAGCGTGACGAGCAAACGGTTTAACCACTAGGCTACTCCACCGCCCTCTTCATACAGAATGATACAGTCATCTTTCAAATGCTCTGGCTTTACACAGATGATGCGGTCAATGTTGTTTCAACCAACCGATTGATGGTGCGATTCACTGGCCACGTCATGAAATATTACGTTAAAAGATGTATTTAATGTTGCCCTGCCCGGTGTTCGGATTGAAGAGGATAAAACTGGGGCCAAGTTAAATAATGTTAATGAATGTAGACATTGTTACCTTGCCTGGGGTTCGACAATGGAGTATTACAAGGACCATTCAGCTGGGACTAATAGCATTATATCTGACTCTGGTATCCATTGTAACCTGATGCATGACATCTCTGGGATTTAGCATGAGTAATGCCAGCATTAGTCAGAACTGTTAATCATACAAACAATATCTATTGCTATTTAAACGTAATAATCTCAAGGTGACGTGACATAATGTGTAACTCTCCTACATTCAGCGAATACCCTTGCCAATGTTCATCATTGCTCTCTTGTATTTAGTTTAGACACGGATATCCCGGTGTATTTGTCTTTTGGACTGTTTGATCACTTCCTTAGTTTAAGTTTTCTTCATTCTCATACAATGAATCAATTGGTTTCTTGAACAAATCTGCGTTTTGTAATGTTGTTTACGGCCTTTAAACTCTGTCTTCAATGCAATGACATATGTCTTGACGGATATCTCGATGTATTTGTCTTGGGCACTGTTTGATAACTTCCTTTGTGTCTGTTTGCTTCATTCTCATACAATGACTCCATTGTTTTCTTGAATTCTTTTCGTAATGTTGTATACGGTCGTTATAATCTGTCTTCAATTCAGCCAACTGATGATATATGTCTTGACGGATATCTTGATGTATTTGTCGCTGTTTGATAACTTCTTTTCTTTCTTTTAGATAATTGAACGTGTTCAGTTTATTGAATTCTCGATTTTCAATATGTGACTGTTTCATATAAAAAATGCTCTTCTCATACCATGACGCAAATGTTTTTCTTGACGAAATTTGCTTGTAGCAAAGTTGTGTACGGCCATTATACTCTGTCTCCAATACGGTCAGTTGATGATGTGTCTTGACATCTTGTTTATAACCCACAACACGACCAACCACAGGAAGTGATGCTTGTCAATTCTGATAAAGACAATGGTCGTGAGGAAAATACCTCGCCTTGATCACCCAACTCACTACAGTTTTTTTTTAAATAACAAAACTTTCAATGGTATTGGCATGCCAAGCAATTTCAGACTTGTGTTTTTCATGTTAATAACACAACTGTCAATGCAAAATATATTGTAGTAGGGGTATTGCTTTTCAAGCAGATTTTCAGATTTGTAACACAAACAGTTTTGGTATGTTAATCAGAACACTTTTTAAACAACAAAACTGTCAATAAAAATATATGTAAATAGGGGTATTGACATGTCTAGTAGTGTCAGATTTGTAGCTGATCTAATCCAGGCATTAATATTCCTCCCTCTGACTGTGTGATACCGATATAGACTCATGCACACATAACGCCAGATTCTATGTGACACTGTATGTGTACAGTGAATCATGGTTGTCAATACGTTACATTCAGCCACATTGTATACATGTATGTGTAACACAGGATACACTTACACACGATGAAAGGATCACAGATGAATATAGATAAAACTCTCAGGTCTCAGGAAAGTGCACATCCACTCACAATAAGTGATGTGTTTATGTAAATTCTGTTTGTTGCGGATGGAAATAACCGACCTGGTTTAGACAGGAAAGTCGTGTTATCAGTGTTACTTCCTGTCAACACAGAAGCTCTGAGGTCTACTAGGCTGTATTACCGGCGGTAGAGATTCAATACTGCACACACGATCCCACTACAATGCAACTACCCGTCGAGTACACATTATGTTAGCATAACCCCATCACAGTGAGTGAGGTTAGTTTTACGCCGCACTCAGCAATATTCCAGCTATATTGCGGCGGTCAGTAAATAATCAAGTCTGGACCTGACAATCAAGTGATCAACAGCATGAGCATCGATTTACGCAATTGGGATCCGATGACATGTGTCAACCTAGCCAGCGAGCCTGACCACCCGATCCCGTTAATTGCCTTTTACGACAAGCATGGGTTACTGAAGACTCATTCTAACCCGGACCCGGACGGTCACAAACAGCGTATAGTTATCGTGTATCGCGATTACTCGTGCTATAGTGAAAGGTGTGCCGTTGCAAACCCATATTTGTTTGTGTTTAACGCCGGACTCAGCAATATTTCAGAAATATGGCTGCGGTCTGTAAATATTCTCGTGTGGACCAGACAATCCAGTAATACGATGGCGAGTAAACCAAGTCATCGAACATGACCACCTATGTCGTCTGTTGTTCCCATGTAGGGAGAGACGACTAATGGGACCAATTTAAGGTGATATTCACGTGTACAAACTGACTTGGTTGACACATGTCATTGGTTTTAAATTGCGCAGATCGAGCTGTTTATCACTGGATTGTCTGGTCAACAAATGATCATTTAGAGACCGCCACCATATAGCTGCACAATTACTGAGTGCGGCATGTACTAAACTCACTCACTCACTGTTGTACCGTCATACATTTGTCCCCTCGCTGTTCAATCCCTGAGGCAGCATCGTAAATATTTAATCTGAAGTGAGTCGTTCTCCTTGATTCAATGAAGTGTAAATGATAATGTGAAATATTGATAAAATAGATAAATAACAACATAGTCAGTTTGAGAAAGTCAAACTTATGTTTCAAGTAATGGCAACGCATATGAGCATTGGTGACACGTGTAAGTATAGAATATATACTATCTAAATCAATGAATCAATGACTCATCTATGCCACCTGGTAAAATGGACAGCATACAAGCAGTTGTAATTTAGACATTCTAAGATTTCCCAGTGTGTCTTTACAAGCATAAAACTATAGTGTGAATACATAATGCCTTAAAGAAGATAACAAACGCTATATTTGGTGGAAATATACTTCGGTCAGAGTGGCTTACGATGGCTTAGTTTAGATCGCTGACTTTGTGTGGTGGCGATTCTGTGCCTCACTCTGACAATCTGGGTTCGAATCCCGGATCGGACTAGAATCTACACTTGACTTAGAATCTGTGATTACACATCTATAGTATGTTATATTTATATTGTATGAATAAAAACTAATCGTTACCCAACAATGACGAATTATTTGTGAATATCCAAATATGTTATGTCCACAGGTTGTGCAAAGAATACCCAACGAAGAGGAAAAACCCGGACAAAATGAGTGAAGCATGAGTGGCACGGTGACAGCCGTGTTGAACCACACATCTGCCATATTCGAGAGCTAGGATAACAGGAAGGGCTTATTTGCAATTTAACATAACAGCTTTTGTGATCGAATAACACATACATAAAGCACAATGTGCAGCCAGCAGGTAGACATGCTCTATTTAGGTCCTGTGAACAAAACACTGCACACAAACAGGCCTGTAATGCCTACCCGAACTGTCACAGCATATCATGTCCTGGTGTGGTGTCCGTGATGAGTGTACCTGTATATCTCACCTGAGATATTTGATCACTCACTTCGGCGAATAGAATTCATACATTCCATATATTTAGGCATCCATATATATTTCATATCCCCAAATCACGGGTTAATATCTTTTATATGACGAAGTTTGTTGCCTGTGAATAAAACACACACTGTCACCTTTTACTACATTATGAGATGCAGCTTTATTTAGCTCCTACGACCACACAACTCAAACCGGTTTTGCATTGCCTACCCGAGCTGTCACTTGAATCACTTCCTGGTGTGGTGTTACAGGCGGGAGTGTGTCTCCATGATGGCTGTGGTCTGTACCTCTGTGCTGAGTATTGGATATGCATTTATGACCATGAGCAGTTTAGTTCTTGACAAGGTAAGTTAACGTGGCAAAGTGACGGTCGAAGGTAATGTAGGGGTAATGTACAAATAAACATACACGATTTTTATTTATTAAGTTTTGTTGGTTTGAATGGTTTAATATGTGACGTTTCGGAGGAATTAAGTGACCTCAAATGCACCAATTGTTTGAGAGAAGCACGAGTTATGAATAGCAACTTCTTGTTGTGAAGGATCAAGCATACACTCCTGAAACGTCGTGTTATTCACAATAAAGAAGCTGACGTCCATAAATCTTGCTTTTCTTATGCATTCCACTTCTAAATGCCCTTCTAAGATTTGACCGGTCTTTTATTTGGACCTATTAGTAGAGCCTCTGGCAATGAGTGACCATTTCACATTATTTTGTTATTTTTGTTAGTTTCATAATGGGAAATATGCTATCATAAAAGCCAAAGTCTTATAACTTTTGTAGGACTGCATAATGACAATCTAGTCAAGGATCTTAGTTACTAGGGTCGGTGGGGTAGCTTAGTGGTTAAAGCGTTTGCTCGTCACGCCGAAGACCTGGGTTCGAATCCCCACATGGGTACTATGTGTGAAGCCCATTTCTGGTGTCCCCGCCAGGATGTTGCTGAAATATTGCTAAAAACGGCGTTAAACCAAACTCACTCACTCACTCTTAGTTACTGGAGGTCACATGAGATTTTAAGCTCAAGTAGTTGACCTAAATCATGTTTATGTTTCATTTTGTAATATTTCATGTTAACACATGTTAATACTGAAGTTGAATCTGAATGAATCACTGACATACAGTAACAATAATTACATACTGCATTGAAGTGCATTCTGTTGAAGCAAACAACACTGACCATGAAAATCATCTTATACTATTACCTTTATCATTATGTTCGCAAAACTTTGTTGCATTACAGTACTTCAGTCAAACATTCTACTTTAAGGCTCTATACTATTTTATTTATCTGTAAACCATTGACATACATTCATACACAATGGGGACGGGTAGCCTGAAAGTATGGTGTAAAAGCAACTAAGTAGATGATGTCGCACACAGAGAGCTATTATGAATTAACGATGTACGCACTTGGACAGAAACATTCCAGTCAATATATCACAATATGTATGGCAATATCTCTTAAATTATTGCAATATATCGCGATATGAGAATCAGGGCAATATCCAGCCTCAGTTCTCAGGGATCCCCTCCGTGGTGTAGTGGTTACAGCGCCCACCCTGAGAGCGGAAGGTCGTGGGTTCCATCCCCGGCCCCGTCAAACCGAAAGACGGTAAAATATGGTACTTTTGGTCCCTGCATGGCGTACAAGAAGAACTGGTCGGTTCGGAGTTAGTTTGTTTCTAAGTGGGGTATTCGTG